TTCGATATACTTCCTTCCGGTATTCGGCAGCCTGATAGATCCATCCTTCCCCACACACAGCTGATTTTACCACAATCTATACTCTCTGCCACAGGACAGGGTCGTCCTTAATAATATGATTAATGCTGTTCATGAGACACATGGTTATGCTTAAGAGCTGAGAGAGTGTCAGAATCACGTGTGTCCCCAGATGCTGCTAGCAAACTACTGGCCACGGCATATCTACCTGCGACAGCTGGCTGTTACGACTCGGCCACATCATCTCTTTCCGGCTTCTCTTCCTCTGCAACACCCTTGAGATGGTGTTCGCCATGGTCCTTCCATTACGTGTTTAGAAGATGTTGTGCGGTCTTGTTTTTTACCTTCTCCTTTCGATGTTTGACCGAGATGGGGACGCCCTCACCTGTAAGGAGAGTGCATGGCCTTTGGGGCTTTGTGAGATGCTCAACAGCCCTTGTTGCTGAGCCCCTCCAGATCCGCCGGCATTATTACCACTCCACCCAGTACTCGCCCATCGATTCTGCTGATGGCTTCTCCCCAACTTGCCCTGCTCTACCCATCTCTACACTTCGCTTGTTTTGCAGGACGAAGAGTAATGGGTCTCGCTGTTGTCGTGTACTCTGCTGCCCCTCACGCTCTTGTAGACGCTTTATTGGCGTATTGTGTGAGGTGATGGGGGGTGAAGATGGGGAGAGAGGGAGGAGGTGCATCGGGTCAGTTGGTGGGATGATTGAAGCGAGGAGCACTCAGAAGCGGCGTGGGAGATAGTAGACAGAGTGGGGAAGAGCGCTGGGGAAAAAAATCGGGAGACGGAATGTGATGGACCGTTGGGATTGGGGGGCAAGGGCGGTGGAAATAAATACGGTGGACGGCACACCATTGGGATGGAGGGGGGAGAGATGGTGGATAGAGGAAGGAGCGGTGGGGAGATATCTACTAGTCTAGGGTCAAGACAAGGCCGGCACTAGAAGTTGCCAGCAGGCGATGGCGACAGTCGCACCTGGTGCACCTGTTTTGCAAGATCCTCTCAAAAGCCGTGACATCTCCAGCCTCTAATGAACTGACTTTCAAGAGTCCTCATCCTCCCTCTTGATAGTCCCTTCACATTTGGAGAGTAGGCCTGAGGTTGGAACGGACAGACATACATCCTCTCCTTGGGCTGTTTGTGATTTCCCAGCTGGCTTTCATGAGTTCGCCCGTTTGTGAGTGGTGTGTGGTGAAGGGGCTTAAACTCGCACAATTCAGACCGTTGAAAAGTTTGACAACTCTCGAAAGTTTTTCCGTCTTGAGAGTGGTGTGGCAAACCAGTCGAATGATTTTTTTTTACAGCAAGTCAGAGGACCCGTAGTATCTGCTGAACTCCAAAGAGACCTTGTAACAGGAAGGCACTGGGTACTTCACGGGTAAAGGGGAAGGTGTCTAGATATCTGCGTAGCCTGAGCAGGTTTTACTCTACCCAGCCTAAAGGAGCGACTCCCTTGTCTCCCAGAGTGGGTGTGACTGAAAATGTATGGCATGGAGTTGATTCTTTACGAGGCCTCACTAGTTCAACAAAGCATTTTATGACCGAAAGATGGGAAAAAACTGATATGATAAATTTTGCACAAATATGGCCGTTTTCCACAAACCACACGGATATAGGTACTTCATATCTAATCTTTGGTGCAATTAGTGATGAAAAGCCCTCGTCCCCTCTCCCAACAATCGATGCAGCAGCAGCAACTACAAGACTTTTCTACTCTCTGTTGTCTCACTGAAAGAAGAATGTATCATGCTGGAGCTCTTCACCGCGTATGTCCCTTGCCAACTCCTTCCTCCCGATGGACTTCCTACTACTCCTAGGCTATCCCTGCCTTGTGTGACCTCCCCCTCTCTGGTGCCCATTCCAGTTATGTCTTGTGGCACCCCTCTACCAGCTACTGCCTGCCGGCAGGTGCTGCTTCAATGGTTGTGCAGCCTTGCTACACTGCCGAGACAGATTGTGCCTCGGGCTGTATGCCCCGGCAGGGAGCTGAATGTGGGGTTAGGCAAGTTCTTTCCGTTGCTTCCAGAAACATCCATGACCTGCCAGAATCCCAACTACCTGGCTGTTACCCTCGTTCAGCCTGACATGGCCTTTACTAAATTGACCGGCCCCTTTCCCTTTTGGGCCTTCACTTAGGACCTCTGACTTCACTTAGGGCCCTTATTTCTGTAACACACTTAGGAGGCCTTCGCGGCCTCTCACTTGCACTCCCTTGGGTTCAAGTCCCGTGAGTACTCTCCCCTTCATTCCACTTGCTGTTTTCTTGTCAGACCCTTTCATACCCTGTCATAATCCCTTGTCTTCTCTCTTATTTTTTCTTGTTCTCCTTTCTTTTCTTTTTCATTTCGAAATTTATGCTTGTCATCCTTGTGCAGGGGCCATGCTAATCTTCTCTGTATACTCCCAATTTCAACAGATGTCCCGAAGGATACCCTGGCACAATTCCCGATGCTGTCTGCATCAAATTTCCCTTTTGTGAACCAGCACCTTTCACGCAGAGCATACTCACTTTATCACTTTACTTACTTCTGGATGGAATTATGGCCAGATGCATACATGTCCGGTTGTAAATTTGGTCAGATACATTTAAGATAGTGCTAGTGCGAGTACCACCTCAGATTCGTATGACATCTGAGCCAAACTGTGTACTGAACTTAGGCTTCAACTCGAGCCCTCTCGTAGTGGGTCTTGGTACCGGTTTATATCGGTGCTCAACAATAGAATCACCATCCACGTGTCCACGCATTGAGGGAAGTAACATCGATATATGCCCATGGGATTTATTGTTGGTATTAAGAAGGTAATGACTTTGATGCGTATAGATGAGGTAGGGTCTTAGATGAGGTGGGACGTCAATGACATATGAAGGAACATCAGGAGTATCACCTGCAATATCTAAAACCGTCCATGGCGCATAGTACAGTGGTGGTGTTTTTCCGGAAATATTCTCTTCCGAGTCTTCCTACTAAACTGTACAGTTTTTACCTATAAGTGATCTCCTACTTTATATAGCGCAAACCTGTTGCTTATTTGCTTCTCAGTCATTTCCTGTTGAGATTGCCGAAGCTTCTCTGCAGATTTTTGGAGCGCCTATTAGCATTCTAGTGTTCACTTAAAGAGTTCAGAAGCACATTCTGACTCTTGTTCGGAAACAGGACATCAAGTAGTTTGTCGGGCTTCTGCCCGACATACAGTAAGCCATGGCTGAATTCGTGCTCGATGTTCATAGCGAGCAAAGAATGCGCTATGCCGATGGTAATTTTGTTGCCCAACTTCCTAGGCAACTAGGGTTGGCTGGAACTCTGTCCTGTGGCAGAACGAACAATGCCGTTATAAGCACATGCTGTTTCATGGAGCTGTTCATCTTGACCAACTCGATGCGGGTAATAAAAATGCAAGTGGTCCCGGGCCACTCTGGTAGCATAGCACTGGAGATAGTAAATTTACAAGCACAAAAGTGCACCTCTGTGACCAAGATGCATATGGTGACCAGGCAATCAACAGAAAGGCAAAGCAAGCAAGGATCACACCAGCACAAGAATGGACATTGATGAAGTCTTTTGATGATGAAGAGCCCTCTTGTTGTGCCGCGTGCCGCAACAATTAATACGAGACGAATAATCTGTGCGCTGGTCTCACTACCAGCCTATGCGGTCATCTACGATGTCCGCTACTGTAGCCTGAACCACGCCACTTTGAAATGCCTCTGCTGTTCCCACAAATGCAGAACATATATGTCCTTAACCAATGTCCTCCTCCCTACAGTGGTCCTCTTCATGCTAAGACATTCCCTCGGTGCGCCACCTGCTTGCCTCCAGCTATGGCTGCGCTGCCCTTCTCCTTGCTTCTGGTGGCTGGGTCAGGCTGGTGCTGGCACTGGCTGCTGCCTCTACACGGTTGCGCAGCTCCCTGACACCTCTGGCTGCCCAGCCTCTGCCTAATGCTGTGGCTGGGACCTGAATGGGGTTATAGTTCTTGCCTTTTGGTTGCTCCCGGAAGTGGCTGCAGGCTGCCAGGATCCCAACTATCTGCTGTGGGTGGTTTGCTTCCTGTCATTACGTGATCGAGTTCTCTTCAAATCTCTTCAGCATTTGCTATTGGCTGTGCTGGCAGCAATGGGTCTTTTTCTTTTGTCCGGAGTTCTGCCATGATACTGTGGGTGTTTTGCTCCCAGCCATACTTGACTGAGTGCTTTTGAACATTTGGAGTGTGTTGGGAACTGTGGATCGGTTTCTGTGTCTGGAGTTCGGTCATAGTAAGTGTGATATTGTTCTCTGTGTTTAAAGCGTGGCCGATGCTTCTCTATACTGCTCTCTCATATTACTAGGGTAACTCCACCGCCTGATGATTTTCCCACTCATTTAAAGCATTGTCCATTCTGTGTAAAGGAATGTTGGCCACTAAAGGTGATATAACACCACCCGTCAGATTTCTATGCATTCATTGCATTGTCCATTCTGTGTAAAGGAATGTTGGCCACTAAAGGTGATATAACACCACCTTGACGCACATCATCGGATTTCTATGCGTTGTTCATTCTGTGTAAAGGAATGTTGGCCACTACAGGTGATATAACACCACCTTGATGCACATCATCAGATTTCTATGCTGTTATAACAGCAGGGGAAAGAAAAAAGGGAAAACAAGAAGGGAAAGTTTGCGAATCCCTGGACTGTTTGGTTTGGGAGCAAGTATGTCTCATGTTATCTTTCTTTAACTGTTGCACTAGTGTGCACAGGCCTGCATTTTAAACAGGAAGGGAAAGTTTGTGAATCCTCGGACCGTTTTTGGTTTGAAAGCTAGTATGTCGCATCTGGTGTGATCTTTTTAGTATTGCATGAGTGTGCAGAGAAATGCATTTTTCGGGTCTGCTTCTTTTAGTTCATTTGGCATGTTAGCTGTAAAGTGCGTTTGTGGGAGGCTTTTTTTTCATTTTGTAACTGTTCTTGTGCTTTTTCGCCCTGCGGAAGTATAGAGCAAGGAGGATATTCGCCATCGTCATGTGTTGGAGGATCTGCGTTACGTGCTAACTCACCTAGAAGCCGCTGTTTATGCTACTCATCACCGTCCAGATCTGGCAGAAAAATGGATTCAGATCTTGGCGTATGCACAGGGTAAGGGGGGACAAGTCCGGTTAACCGCTCAGCATGTGGAGATAGATACGGAGGAATGGCGCAGGTACTTCGATATAGAGGTGCTGCTTGGGATAATCACTCCGTTGATTGTCCAAGCTGCCAATGCTGAATGCACAGAGGCTTGCATGGCAGGAGAGAGCCTTCAGGAGGCTCCTCCAGGGCAGGGCGATGTGGAGATGGCAGAAGTCCATTTTGCGCGATCAGATTCGGAGGTGTTTAGCATGCATGTGGAGAAGGTGGTGCTGAGCGATGGTCTGAGCGTTCCGGGACCGCTGGCGCGTCTCATTAATGAATGTGTTCGAGTGTTGGCCTCTTGGCTCGCTGTGGATGCCGCAAGAGAGGCAAGGAGGCAGACATCCCAAACTCCTGAGCCGTCGTGGAGGGTTGTTGGGGGTGACCGGTGGTTGAATGTAGATGAAGGAGGCATAGGCGGGAACAGAACAGGAGGTGGTGGTCGAGGCAATGGCACGAGGGGCCAATTCATGACTCGAAGGCTTGTGAGAATCGAACCGACAAGGCCGCTCATAGTGGCAGGCATGGAAGGTCAACGTCAAGGTAGAGGAGGGGGTGGTAGGGGGGAGGCAGGTGGAGTGGGTGGCGAAGTGGGCGTGGCTGCTGCAGCAGTGGTGGCAGCGGCAGCGGCGATGGTGCCTCACTTTGTTGCGCCCGGTGGGGGGAGAACCGATAGGAGAGCTGGAGCACTTGGTGTCCGTGCCTCTCGTGTTCCGAGAGTCAATCTTCAGCGATGGTTTAGAAGACGGCAACTTGAAAATATGGATACGGGAGGAACAGGAGGAGCCATTGCTGCAGGGGGTGGTGCTGTCGGAGGTGCTGCCCTTGGTGGGGACGAGGAGGCCGGAGGTGGGCCGGCTAGGGAGGGGGTTGGGTTTATACGAAGAGTTGAACAGGCTGATGGCGATGGAAGTGACATTCATGGTGAGGGATTGACAACAAGAGCAGCCGGTGGCAGCGGCGATGCGTCCCCAGAGCTCATGATGGCAGATGCTAGTCTGTCACCCAAGTCTCCAGATTCACTAAGGGGCCTGTCAAATGGTGAGAGCTCTGCGATGGAGTGGTGGATGGGATCACCCTATATTCTGCAGGGTTCTCCAGAGGCATCTGCTAAAGAAATGGCAGAGATGAGCTGTAGTGAAGAATGGCCAGAAATCAGGTTCAGCGTCTCTTCCCAGGAAGTGACCTTCCACATTCCCCTGCACAGGATGTTGTCATTGATGCTGCATACTGTGATGAAGGGAGTATTTGGCATTGAGGAAGGAGGCAAGGGGAGCTTTGCGAAGAGGAGGTCCAAAAATGGCAGTGACGCATCCCTGTTTATCAAGGAATTGCTGCCAACCAAGTATCAGAAGCTGGGCTTTGCTGCTGTGCTCATGGAACATCCATTGCGCATCCAAGTATTATGTGCGCAGGTCGCAGCAGGCATGTGGCGCAGGAATGGGATAAGCATGGTCTACCTGGCGGACGAATGCTACAAGAGTGTTCACTGGTGCGATACCTTTGATTCTGAATTCTTTTCTCCCTGAAAAACCCGTCCTCCTCCACTCACCCCTTCACTCTTCCCCCTCCCCAACGAATGTTCTCTCTAGTCCATTCCTCTGCACTGTTTCTGTATTATCTGGTGGATTTTCTCCCAGCCCCACTCAAGGTCTCTATGAGGCACTCACACCTGGACGTTTGTGACTGCATTGGCTGCAGACTATCAGCAGATATATCAAGGAAATCCCCACCTTCTTAATCTGAAAAAAAGTATGTACGTTCTATGGGACTTACCTCGGAAAGACGGGTTTTCCGAAACCGCTGTCTTTTTTTTCCCAAATAGAACGTACCATTGAATACAATGTACATTGTGTTTGTTTGTTTTTTTGTCTGAGATACTATGAAGATTTTTCAAAAAGCTTGACAAAAATCAGAAGAAAAGAAGTGCACAGCAATGCAGTACAAAGTACTACAAACTAACAAAGTTACTACAAACATTTTCTGCGGGTAAGCAGTACAATTGTGAACTCAGCAAGATGTCGTAGAACTGATACGTATGGAATCAATGAAGCCACTTGAAGCTGAGTCATGCTGGGAATCGGGGATGCATTTTTTCCCCCTTTTTTCCCCTCACCTTCTCGGTCTGATGTAGCAATCGATGAAGGTGGAGGGCCAGCAAGGGCATACTCACATTGGTAAGGATAACTTCAAACTCCCATCGGTGGTGATCTGAGTCCTTTGTTGCCTCTGGGCTGCAGCACCCCAGTTCATAGTGGCTCTGTTTGCATCTCTGGAGAGTGCTGGTAACGGAACTTCTGCAGATAGGCTTTGATCTACCTTCTGGTTTAAGCAGCATGACACCCCTGCAGATGGGTTTTGTCTACACTGTGGTTTAAGCAGAGGGTTGAATCGTACAGAACGCATCTGTATTTGACAAGCCAACTTTCGGCCCGGGATTCCATCGCCCACAGATAGTTCTCTCCAAAAATCTTGGTCCAGGTCTTGGCAGTGATGAGATTCAGCTGCTGCGTGTTCCCCCCTCCCGCTCTGCCCTGAACATCTTGCCAATTGTGAATTCCTTGAACCAGCACTGTGCTTCGCTGGTACCTTGTCCCGACACCTGTTTCTCAATTTATGCGTGTCATCCTTGCGCAGGGGCCATGCTAATGTTCTCTGTATCGTCCCAATTTTAACGGATGTCCCGAAGGACATGTCCCGACACACCTGTTAATATGCTGAAAAATCAAAGTTTGAGGGCAGTGAAGGGAAAATGCTGGTGCTGCTTGGCAAGATTTGACTCATCGTTCAATTTTTCTTACGGCCGGGCAGCATCGGGTAAAAGAGGCTCAGTTGGACTGATGGTTAAACCACCAGTACCGAATTTAGAGCATCCCACTTCTGTGGTTATTAAGTTGTATTAACTTATTAGTTCTTATTTCTGCTGACGAAAGAATCCAAGAACGAAAATGGGGACCGTATAAAGAATAAACAGAAATGTCCTCGGTGACTCCTCACCCATGAAACAATATTTCCGCCAAACCAAATGCGTATGTCGCCAAACAATGTTGCTGTGACACGGTAGATCAGACGTTTCAGGCTGGGTTGGGCAGGGTGTTTTGTTTTTCTTACCAAGTCAGCTTTGATAATATAGGTCGTTTGGTACTAGTGGTTTAAGCTGTCGCTGGCTGCGCAGCCGTAAAATGCCCAGTTTATCATTGGTAGGGTTTGCCCAGGCTGGGGGAACACTGGCGCCCCAGGTTCGGCTGGGGTGCAAATTGAAAGCATTCCAGGGTTGCGTCACTGCCGACCACCGAGCCCGACCGCCGGCTGTATTGCAGCTGACTTGCTGGGCGGACCAGTTGGGCCAACCGGTCTTTGGTCTGTCAACCAGTCAGAAAGGGGAAAAAAATGAAGAAGAGAAAAAGCAAACATCCACTGATTATTTTTCAAATCTGAGTTGGGGGCTGTACTGTGCCTGCTGAGTACAGCCCAAATCCGCTGAGAAACTTTCGGGGATGGGGGGAGGTATGTGGGGGTTGGAGTATAGGGGGTGTATAGGGGGTTATAGTGGTGATATAGGGGGTATTGGGCGGGGTAATGAGGATGTTGGGGGCAGTATGGGGGTGTTGGGGGGGTGTATGGGGGTATTGGGGGCCGCTGTGGGGGTGTTGGTGGTGTTGTTAGGGGTTCTGAACCCCCCCCAAAAAAATAAAAAATTGCGGGGTGCCGATGACCCCCGACCGATAGGTGCCGACCAGCCGATTGGTCGGCGGGTCGGCAGCCGACCAGTCAAGGGCCGCCAACCGTCGGGAGGTGTAACGCTGAAATGTTCCCTCGGCCTTTCCACTTTCTGCTGCACAGAAACAGCAGGGCCAGCCATTTGTGGGCCTCATACAATACGGTCGATGAGTGTCAGGGCCGTTTCCCAGAGGTGGTCCACAACCTTCGGTCAGAGTGTGCAAAAAAAATCGAGAGAGAGAGAGAGAGAGAGAGAGAGAGAGAGAGAGAGAGAGATGCGGGGGCACCTGCATGTGCAAGGAGGTGGGCAGGTATGCGCAGAGGTGTGTGTGCGCAAAGGGGTGGTTCTCTCTCTCTCTCTGTATCTCTTCCTCTCTCTCCCCTACTACTACTACCACGAAAATTATGAATAGTAATGCAAGATACCACAGCTAATGGACAGGGAAGTGAGCAGTGGGTGAACAGGGTTGTGGACTACTACCTCGAATATTATGAAATGTAATGCAAGATACCACAGTAAATGGGCAGGGGCATGAGCGGCGGGTGAACAGGTTGTGGACTGTGACGGACATTGGGGTGTGTGGGTGCGATCATGAACGGCTTGTGTGCAGGCGTACTGAGCCTTCCTAGAAAAGGAAACCACAGCTCCAAAATGGCAGCCGGTCTGCTATTTGTTTTCCTTAGCCCCTTAAATCTGAAGTAGTCCAGGTTCGGTTGGCATATGGGCTTAGGCTTGGAGGTCAGCAAAGGATTGGACTGCTATACCGAGGGGGCAATTAAACCATTAGTCGCGTGGCAGCCTATGGCCGCTGCTAACCTCTCTCTCTCTCTCTCTCTCTCTCTCTCTCTCTCTCTCTCTCTCTCTCTCTCTCTCTCTCTCTCTCTCTCTCTCTGAGAGCATGGGAACCAGGCACCGGTTTTCTGAAGGTGCGTCCCACCGCCGGAATCATTACAGGCATGTGCCGATTTTCCTGGGTGCGCCTCACTGACGGAACTGCCATGTGCCAATTTTCCGTGGGCATGGCCCTCATCGATCATGATGAGGGTGTGGCTTGAAGATGCTGAGGGTGCAAGTAGACGACAAGGGTATGTGGCCACCGTGTGAACACGAACCTGGCCAAACCGATTTCAACGTGTGAACTCCACTCTTGGTTGCCTCCTCCTGCACAACAGCAAACATGAGCTGGCACCAGCCTGGTCGGCCCTGGTATTGGCGCTCTTACAGGGCCAGATAATTGAAGCAGACATTTGTTTTGACAGTATCTGGGGTTCACTCTTTTTCCCTTACTCTTCCTCCTCTCCCTTTCTTCACCTTGTGGGAGCTGATCCAGTTATCATGATCTGGGCAGTCGGCATTGTGGTCCAGACATCTGGGTTCTGACCACCCGTGGGATTCAAACTTTTAAGTCATAGTTGGTTTATTACGACTATGGGAGAAAACTACACTATGAAAAGTTCATTTATGCCCCGTTTGTGTTCTTGCTCTTTTCGTCTTTGTTTGTCATTATTCCGGGAGTGGACAGTGCATTGTGGAATGCGTGTGGAGGCAGGTATGGTGGGAGAAAACTACACTATGAAAAGTTCATTCATGCCTCATTTGTGTTCGTGTTCTTTTCATCTTTCTTGTCATCGATCCGGGAGTGGACAATGCATGGTGGAATGGATCTGGAGGCAGGTATGGTGTGTGCGTGTATTTCTTGTCGAAGATTGAATGCGTCTGCACGACATTGTAAGAGTTTGCCCTGGTGTTACTCTTCTGTCTGCCTTTTGATGGGCTGCCCTGTTGTACTCTTCTTTTGCTTATGTGGACCTCAGTGATGCCGTTATATGCTTATATTGCTCCCCAGTTTTGTTGTTGCTGTCTGCTTCATGTTCATGCTATTGTGGCTGCACTCACTCCACTTCCTGCATTTGTTTGTTTGGATGTGCATGTGTATATGTCTGAGTATTGAAATGTGTTGGTGGTTCCTTGGGTCATCATGTGTGCGCTATTTTTTTGTGTCAGGCACGTGCGTGTGTTTGTCTATGTGTATGTATGCACATGGTTGTTCACAGCTGGTGTTTCCTGGGCTGTGTGTGTGCGCGCCTGAGCACGCATGTTGAGGCTGTGCAGGTAGGTATGTATGTGTGCATGTATGCGTGTGTGGATGTTTGTGTGTGTGTGGTGTGCGTGCATGTGTGTGTGTTCGTATGCGCATTTGTGTGGGTGTGGCTGTGGGTGTGTGGCAATGAGGAGGTCTGCGTTCTTGGAATTGTATGGGATGACGTGGCTTGCATGGTATGGGTGGAGTTGGAGTTGGAGTTGGACTGGGGGAACAATTTTAAAGGTGCGAGGAAAGCTTGGAATTGGATCTCTTTTTGCTTCAGTGCTGCGCTGTGATCTCTTCCCCTGAAGAATTTGTGAAGCGTGTGCAGTCAAGATTTGGGCTTGCGGAGTACTTTGGACTGGACAGGTCACCACCCGCAGAGTAAGTGCCCATCTCTGCATTGCTTACCATCTACCGCATTTTCGTGTTAAGCCACCAGCTTTTCAACCTGTTTTGTTGAAGCTGCCACTTGCTCTAGTTGTCAATTTGGTGCAGATGAAGAGAAACAAGCTCCACTGCTGCCAACTTACATGTCTTTGATCTCTGTCCCATGGTTCAGGTCAGCGAATGTTGCGATGATGCCTTGGGCCTATTACTGGACTAACCCATGGCTGTTGATTTTAAGTCGGTTGATTGGATTTTGTACCAGTCCAGTAGTTCTGGCAGATTCAGGGGACCATCTGGTGGAGGCTTTAAACCACCAGTGTAAATTTGAATTGTGTCGAGCCTAAAAGAAATTGGTACCGCTGCTTGGAAAATAAACGGTGGCACCAGTACCCGCCACTGCAGTTAGACACTGGAAGGCTGTCCATTTCACTCGTGTGCCACGGCAGCCAAACCCTCCACAAAGCCAGGTCGTGTATCTGGCCGAATTCGAGCACCAGATACAGGTGGTTTCAAAGAGATACAGCAACTATGAAGAAGAGGGGGGGAAAGAAAAGAAAAGAAAACTCACACTGACGTTTTCTGCTGAGGTTGGCGGCAATAGCAGTAGGATACATCCCAGTTAGGCCGTGGTCTGAGTGATACCCTCAAAGGAATGTGCCTGTATCTACCCCAAAACGGTTAAAGATTCATGAAAAAAAAACAGCAAAACAATGGTCCTACTTTCAGAAAGGTTGGCATCCCCGTGAAAACAGGTGCCTCTCCACTTGTTTTGCTGGCAGTCCGTGATGACAGGCGCCAGTAACTAGTTGAGGGCTGCTTGCCCCCAGAGGCATGCCCCTCGATGCATAAAGACTGTTTTAGATGGTAGATATGTGCACCGAGATGAACGGACTACCAGGAATAGTTGGAAAACGTCCTGGCTTGCTGGCAGGGTACCTAAAACAGAAAGATTCTTAGAGTTCCCTCGAATATGGCCCAGGAATGTGGCCAAATCCATCCCAAATGAAACCCAGTAAACCTAGAATATGGAAAGATACATTGCCAGCTTTTTTGTCTTTTGTGCAGCCAGGCCCAATGCTTCTCGTTTTTATTCTTTTTTTTTTGTTTTTTTTTGTTTTTCCCTTTTTCTTTGTTGTTATCCCGGTGCCAGCGATGCTGGCTCTGTACGTGAATGTGGAAATGCACGGGCAGATAGGACAACCAGGAAAGCTTTAGTCCAGTTGCCCGTTTTGGATGGGCCCACAAGCCTACTTGCGCGTTGCTTCACCAGGCCGGCCCCGAGCCCCAAATTTCTCGTTGCGACAAGTTTACTTCTCTGCAAGGCTGGTGCCGTGCACTAGTGGTTTAAACCACCAGTACACCCCCCAGCCTCTTCTACCAAGCCGACATGCCCCTGCGCGCTGAGTTTTGCCGAGCCCGGAGGCAGTGGGAACCGGTGTTGTTGTTGCGATGATGCATTGGTCCTATTACTGGACTAACCGATGGCTGTTGATTTTAAGTTGGTTGATGAATTTTGTAGCAGTCCTGTAGTTCTGGCAGATTCAGGGGACCATCAGGTGGAGGCCTTAAACCACCAGTACACCTGGGCCTGTTCTACCGAGCCGACGTGTGCCTGCACGCTGAGTTTTGCCGAGCCCAGAGGCGGCAGGAAACGGTAAGGGAAATTTTGCCGGTTGGCACCAGTGCCGCCCTCTATGCTGGACCTGCTTCCAGCAGCAGCTGAAAGAACAGGTGGGCGCCTTTTTCTCGTTTTCACTCATGTGCCACGCTGAGCCTGGCCAGAAGTTGAATACATTCTGGGAAGTGCTAGCGTGAGAATGCCCTGAAATGGAAGGGGCTGATGGGTATCGATTGCTCCCCGCGTCGCATGGGGAGTCACATCAGAAAGTGCAGAAATTCATCTTTCTTATGGGAAAAAAAGTTAAAAAGGAATGGACGCCAGTAACATCTTGTATGTTGGGAATGTTTTTTTTTGCTGTATTTTCCTGACAGATATGAGTCTTCTCTTGCGGAGGAGATGCTTCTCCTCTTGATTCGCATTGTTGCCGAGAGGGCTTTCTGCGGTTTGGGTACAGCTGAGGCGGTGAGACGAGAGTTAATCCAGAGGCTGGCAGCAGGAGATGCCACACATTCCAGTCTTGTTAAAGCACTTCCACCCCGTCTCCAGGGAAGCAGTCACGTACAGGAATGTCTGGATGCGGTTGCCTCCTATACGATGCCCTTGGGCATGGAGCAGGTGCTTTTCTTTCTCTCAATCCTCCCGTTTCTTCCTCGTCTTTCTGTTTCCTTGTCTCGTCTTTGTTTCTATCTTCCCCTTTCTTTTCTCCGCTGCTCATTCCATCTTCTCACTCCCTTCTCTGTCTCCTTCTGGACCTTCTCAGTTGGATCTCTGTAATGAACCCAGTCTGTAAGATACTCGCCAGATGTTGAAATACGAAGTAACTCAACTCTGAACAATGTCTCCAATAATCATAAAAGGTTCGTTATATCGGAAAATTCCGTCTTGTTAGGCGCGGATCAACACATCGAACTACCTAATGTGATCTCTGATACAATGTCTCGTTTCCAGTAGACGAAGAGAGTGGAGGGGGAATAGACAGAATAGAAGGTGGAGGAGATAGTGATCTCTGATACAATGTCTCGTTTCCAGTAGACGAAGAGAGTGGAGGGGGAATAGACAGAAAAGAAGGTGGAGGAGATAGTAACCATCAATGACCACAAAGATAGTAGCCTAACATTTCCCACTCCTCCTTCGGACTTCCTCGTCTCCACGTCAGCAAAACAGTATCCAGTAACGAGCTTGATGAATCCTGATCACATTGAAGTGCCACGTGACACATGAAGACGTTGGAGACAATCAGCAGCGCACAGTATCGACATCAACTTCAGGTAAGTATTCCGATCCCTCTCAATCATCCACAAATCCCGATCTGCCTCCTTGTCGCATCCAACTCAGCAACGTAGACAATGTGGCAATTGCCACATCAGCAAAGAAGACAGTGGCATGCGAGACATCAGCAATGTTGAAGACAGCGTGGCCCTGCGCCACGTCAGCACAGGCCGACGCCAATGCAGAAGGCGCCAGCGTGAAGCAGCAGTCTCGCGTAGTCGTCCACCGTGCCAGTGTACAGCCAGCGTCAAAGCAGCAGAGCAAGACTGAATGTTGACTCCCTGGAGGCCAGGCCTTATTTAATGTTTGACGAGGCTGACCGGCCTCAGGTATCCCACCCAGGGTGGCTCAGATTGACTCACAGCCGAAGGCCTGGATCGTGTGCAGTTGCAGACTTACACTTGGTCCGAATGTTGTCTTGGTACCTGCATACAAACAAGTGTCTGTGTCTGACGGGCGGCCTAGGCTGGGTGCATGCAGACTTTGACTTTTGGGCTGTTGGGCAGTTGACCGCAGTCAACTGTTGGGCACACAGGCCCTGAGCCAAATTGGGGTTTCCTCCCCCTTGGCCTTTGCGGCCTCAGACTGGGGTCGCGGCCTGTGTGTGGCCCTGAGGCCACCTAAGGGCATACTGAGTGGGGTATTGCATTCCTGCCGGCCCAAATTTCGAGTTCCATCGCATAAATACATTATTTTTGTTGTTAACCCCCGTTCATATGCAGCAACAATATCAGGAGCAATAGGTAGTAGTTCTTTCTTACTAAACCACCTAGCTTTAGAAGGAGGTTAGAACTTGAACTGTACCTTGTACTGCTTCTACGGTCTTCCTCTACCTCGTGTAGAGAAGTAACCATGCTCTAGAATCTTTTCGACTTCGTAGCCTCCATTCATGGAGGGTGGGAACATAGATGGTCTGTTAGGAAACTCGTTTCCTTCTACATATGGCAAGAGTTTAGACGCGTGAAAGACAGAATAGGTTCTAAGGTGTGGGGGTACATCAATTCGGTAAGAAGGTCCGTTTGCATCCCCAATCACCTTGAGAACTTCCCAGGGTCCGTAATAGACGGGCAACAATTTTTGAGACGCATTCTCTTTCGAGGAAAACTCTTTAGACTTTACCCACACTAGGTCCCCTTCTTGCAACTTAGAAGGCCGGCGATGCTTGTTGGCCTGTTCAATCATCTGTAGTTGGGCTTTCTGTAAATTTTCTTTTATGTCTTCCTCGTATAAAAGTGTGAATTCTCGAGTACTTGGGTTTAACCTCTGAATCTGGTCCCGGGTTAGAGCATCAATGGAACACCGTGGTTTCCAACCTTTATGCAATGCATTCGGTGTTCTTCCTGTAACAGTATGTAAACTATTATTGTATGCACTTGCAATCTTAGGTAAGTTCTCATCCCAATCTATCTGATCGGGTCGTACATACATGCACAAAAGTTGTTGGCATAGACGATTCATTTGCTCAGTTTGGCCATTCGTTTCAGGGTCCAACCTAGTGCCATAGACTTCCATCAACTTTTGTCATTGTAGTCCACTGAACCGGACATCCCTATCGAAAACGACGGTCTTTGGGAAACCTCATTCTGAGACCCATCGCATTTGAAACTTTTGGATGACTAGTTCAGTCTTAGCTTCTGCAGGCAAAGGAATGAATATAGCATATTTTGAGAATCGATCTACAATGACCATTAGCTGACTGTTGCCGTTTCGACTCTTAGTGAGACTCGTGAAATCAATGGAGATAAACTCACCTGGCTCACTTGTAATAGTTAGCGGTCTCAATAGTCCCAGGGGATTCTCATGCGAGGGCTTGTTCCTCTGGCAAACAAGACAAGTCCACACATAGGTTAGCACATCCTCCATTCCTTTCCATTTATCGACATACGTTTTCTTGAAATTGCAGTGCCCCTAAGTATCATGACATTCCCCAATAATTAAACTTTTTATTCGTTCTTTATGATGAATACTAAGTCTTTCTTCGGTCTTGTTGATAAAGAAGAGTAAACCATCAGTCATTCTATATTCGGGAAAGAGTTCATGGTTTCTTTGTAGGGTTCCAACAATAGGACTCCATATAGGATCGTCTGCATAACCCTTACGAATTTGCTCTTTCAACTCGTTCCCAACATCGAGATAGGAGACAATTGTTCCAAAGAAATCAACGTCTGGACAAAGCATCCCCAACCACATTGGACTTTCCTTTGATCGTCTTTAGTTCAAAGTCAAATGTGTTTATGGAAGCGGACCATCTTACTAACTTGTCAAAAAGTTTAGGTTGGAGTCTTAATCCACTGCAGGGTAGAGTGGTAGCAAGTAGTGTTTCCAGGTGTCCAGTGCAGCAACTAAAAGGCATACAATCCCGTTTTATAAGTGGAGTCGGCCACTTTTTCAAACGACAGTCGTCTGGACATAAACTCAATAGGTTTATATTCCTTACCGTTGGCCTGCTGTAACACAGTCCCAATTCCATACCGACTTGCGTCAGTTGTGACAATGAAAGGGAGAGAAGGATCAACAATCTTTAAGACATGGTAGTGAGTCGGCACGTATTTTAACTTCTTGAACGACGATTCACAATCTTTGTCTCATAACCAAGGATTTTCTTTCTTCAGTAGTCTTCTCATAGGCGCAGTTATTAAGGAGAAGTTCCTTACAAACTTCCTGTAATAACTAGCAAGTCCTAGGAAAGACTTGAGCTCATTGATAGTCTTAGGTTGGGGCCAATCTCGAATTGTTGTTATCTTCTTCGGTTTGGGCCTTAGTCCTTCTTCACTCACTATATGCCCTAAGTATAAGACTTAAGGCTTAGCGAACTCAGACTTCTTAGGATTCAGTTTGAAGTTGCCCTTGCACTTCTGAAGAACCATTCGTAGGTGTTTCTCGTGATACTAAAGTGTCTTGCTATACATGAGGATATCATCGAGATAGACAACTAAGAACTGATCCACCCATTGATGAAATAGTTCATTCATGGACCTTTGAAAGGTGGTAGGAACTTTATTCAATCCGAAAGGCATAACCACGAACTCGTAGTGACCATACATGGTTCGGAAGGTTGTCTTGTGTTGATCCTCGGAAGCCACCTCGATGTGGTTGTACCCTGACTTGAGATCAATCTTACTAAAGTACCTGCATCCAATTGGTCCAACAAGTCGTCAATGCGCGGAAGTGGTTCCACGTTCTTGATAGTGATGGCATTCAACCCCTGATAATCAATGCATAATCTAAGTTCACCCTCCTTTTTGGGTACAAATAAGACAAGAGCACCATAAGGAGACGAGCTAGGGCGAATCTATCCTTTTCCAATTAGTTCTTGCAATTGCTTCTTTAATTCCTCAAGTTTCTGATGAGACATACAATAGATGGTACCATTGCGAATCTTGCTACCGGGGATAATCTCTATCGTGTGCTTGATAGCAAGCTCAATGATTCCCGTTGGCTCCGTCTGTAGGTCCTTGTACTCATCGAGTCATCTTTCAATAGGAGGAGGGTAGGACGAGGAGCATTCTCCTACTTGCTTAACGAGCACCATCATCACATCCTAATCGAACTTTTTTTTTGAGACCATATATCGGGAGGCTGGATAATTCGTACAAGAGAAGGAAAGTGACGAGCTAGAGCCAGACTTGTGATACAATTGCTTGAAGTTTGGACTTTTAGTCAGTTAACTTTACAATATTCTTTTTGAACTTAACTTATGGGTCGGCTTCTTCGTGCCAATCCATTCCATGAATCATGTCAAAGGGTAGGCCTTTTTCAAGTAGGAAGGATACTTCGTGTAAGATCTTCTTTCCTTCCTTGGTCTTGAAATAGCATTTAACACGATCAACATATAGAGAGACAAGGCTCTTGTCAGCCAGCATAGACGTGATAGGTCTATGTAAGTCTCTTACCTTTATCCCCAGATGCAACTTTTGAATTGCCTTCTCTGAGATGTAAGACCGCGTCAATCCTGGGTTTAACAGGGCACCTACTCGCGTATGTGCAATCTCAATATGTGCAATCAATCACTCTCCCTTAGACTTTCCTTTCTTAGCCCACGAACTCCTTAGCTACAAGTTCATTTTCAAGTTCGTCAAGGGAATGGTTCAGTGAGACAGAACACAAAATTGTTTCAGGGTGTTCTGAACGACAGGCCGAAGAAGAGTCATCCTTTGCCGTATGAGCCGAGGGGTTGAAAGGGGTTATTGGCGTCTTAACTTTATCTAAACCCCTCAACTCAGTAGGACCAGATGCTACTCCTACTGGCTGCTCCCTTTTGGGTTCGAATGAGAGGGCACCATGCTATGACGTGCCCTACAATGCCGCACTTCAAGCACTACCTATTATCCATTCTTTCCTGCCAG